AGACTCCAATACTAGTCATGGTTGGCAAGAAGCACTGCTCGACGACTGGAGAAATGAACTGGGCAACACCGGTGGTGACGCCCTGGACATCCAATCCAAGGTCATTCAAAGCGCGAAGGGCGTCGTCCTCTTCGGTAGCAGCACGGGCCCTGAGAGAGCCGGGTTCCGAGGACGAGCCGGCATCGAAGACGGTGGGACGGGAAAACTTGTAACTTCCAGAAACCACGACCAATTTGTCGACGACGGCCCTGTTCTCGTGGCCAATGTCTCCGTAAAGGCGGGGGCAGAGCACCGAGTCTGGACCGTTGTAGCCCTGACGGAACAAACCGTGGGGGGACTGGCGGGACTGGTAGCACGGCATCGTGATGCTGGAGGCGCCTCTCTTGGAACGGGTACGGGGAGAAGGGGACACCACCATGACGGCGTCTTCAGTGCAGCGACGGACAGGCGTTGGGGGAACCGGGACACGGGCAGCGGGAGCAGAGGCCTCACGGGAAGGTGCGCCGGGATGGGCTGTCTCATCGGGCGCGTCGACATCGATAACACTGGGCACGACCAAGGCGGCGACGGCGTTGCGCACTTCCCGGGTGAGCTCTCCGCGACGGTCGCGACAGGACAGACAGGAGCACTCGTCGTTGCCAATCATGTGACGGGCCAGGATGCGACCCTCGAACTGGGAGCCTCGGGACGCGAGGGAGGAAGAACCGCCGCGACGACGGTACGGGTTGCTGGAAGTGGCACGATGGAAAGAGGACATACCTGGGACTGGGCTTGGCGCCCGGACAAAGGTGGATTCAGTGAGTTCGGTGCAGGAAGCATGCGATTGCAAAGGCCTGCGCATAACAGCATTTACTTACTTTGTACTTGGTAGTGACGATCGAAGCGAGCTGTCGGTTGGTTGGTAAGTTGGTTGCTTGGAGGTTGGTTGGCTGCCGGGTTGTTAGTTTCCTTTGTTGGTTTGTTGTTTTCACTGTGGCCGAATTATGACCACATTGGGATAGTTTTGCAAGCCACCGATGGACGGCCACCGATGGACGGCCACCGATGGACGGCCACCGATGGACGGCCACCGATAGAGGGTTAGGAAATTTGGAAATTTGGCAATGGGAAAAAGGACATTTGTGAATGAGCAAAAGGAGAATACCAATAGCGATAAAGTAAGTAAGTAAATAAGTAAGGAAGTAAAAGTAAGTAAGTAAATAGAAAACGCCTTGGAAATGCAAATGGTACAGTGATTGCAATGGAAAAGGTTCTGGAAAAGCAAATGGTACAGTGACTGTAAAGGAAACGGTTCTGGAATGGGAAATGGAACACTGATTGGAAAGGAACACTGACTGGAATGGAAACGGCTTTGGAATTGTGAATGATATAAGGATTGAATTTGCAAACTGTATTGGAATAGCAAAGGGTACTCTGACTGGTGTGTTGGGAAATGGGAATAGCAAACTGGGATTCAAATAAGAAGATAATCGACAGTTCAAGTTGGTTCTGGCAAAGGAAATGGCGCAGTGGAAATGGAAAGCAACATACAGTATTCGAATGAAAAGGAAAATGCTATAGCGACAAGCAAGCCGATGTCTGATAAGAGGGAAGAAGAAACTGTACAATAGAGAGATAAGAACATGAATGTGAATGATGATAATAGAAATTGGAATAGATAACAGGAACCAAAGCAATTCAACAAAGAAAACAGAAACAAACAGAGAGAAATAGGAGAATGAAAAGGAAAAGAGAAAGAAGAATAGTGAAACGAAAACAGATATGAATAGGAAAGTACAGATTGAATGAATGTAAAGAGGCAACAGTGAAGGATGTTACATATCTTTTTATCTTTAACCCTACTTACGTATTTAGGCTTATGCTTACTTATTTACTTTTTACTTACGTACTTACTCATTGATATCTACAAGTTCTACTTCAATAGAAGCAGTTTGTAATACATTTGAGTGATATGCCATCTCACATGCCGATTCCTTCATTACTATATATTATATATCTTTTTATCAATATATACTAACCTATTTAGCTAAGCTTTGAATCAATCGACTACCGAAACTAATAACAGCAAGTTTAATGTGATAATAAATAACTGAGGAGTAAAAAAGTAGTTTGATAGAAGGGCGTTTGTTTGGAGGCGTTCTGGTCGATTTCAGGAAGAATTAAATATTTTTATAAATAGTAATTAAGTAAGTTAAGTTAATTAGTTAAGTTAAGTTAAGTATACTTAAGGTTAAGTATAGGGTTAGGGTTAAGTATAGGGTTAGGGTTAGGGTTAAGTATAGGGTTAAGTATAGGGTTAGGGTTAGGTATAGGGTTAGGGTTACGTATAGGGTTAGGGTTAGGGTTACGTATAGGGTTACGTATAGGGTTACGTATAGGGTTACGTATAGGGTTACGTATAGGGTTACGTATAGGGTTACGTATAGGGTTACGTATAGGGTTACGTATAGGGTTACGTATAGGGTTACGTATAGGGTTACGTATAGGGTTACGTATAGGGTTACGTATAGGGTTACGTATAGGGTTACGTATAGGGTTAGGGTTAGGTTAGGGTTAGGGTTAGTGGTAGGGTTAGGGTTAGAGTTAGGGTTAGGGTTAGTCCTAGGGTTAGTCCTAGGGTTAGTCCTAGGGTTAGTCCTAGGGTTAGTCCTAGGGTTAGTCCTAGGGTTAGTCCTAGGGTTAGTGTTAGGGTTAGGGTTAGGGGTTAGGGTTAGGGTTGAGGGTTAGGGTTAGGGTTGGGGATAGGGTTAGGGTTAAGTATAGGGTTAAGTATAGGGATAGGGTTAGGGATAGGGTTAGGGTTAGGGTTAGTGGTAGGGTTAGGGTTAGGGTTTAGGGTTTAGGGTTTAGGGTTTAGGGTTTAGGGTTTAGGGTTTAGGGTTTAGGGTTAGGGTTAGGTTTGGATCTCTTCTTGTTTC